TCATTAATTTCATTTCATGATTTCGATTCAAAATAAAATTCACTACACTTTCTTAATTAATTTTTCACTTTTCATCCAAGAATAAAGAAAAACATCATTTTCTTTGTCAGTTTCGTCATTAGAAAAGCCATTTTTTTCCACGTTTTTGATATAAAATTCATGGAACTCATCAAAGTTTTTTAATATTTTCACTCCATGGGTATCATGTTTTTCACATTTATCAGAAGAGCAGACTACTTATCTATTACAAATTTTTGTAAGTCAAAAGCCGAACAATGAAGTATTTCTTAATCTAAATTTCTTAATCAATTCATTCTGTAAAAATTAATTTTTTTAGAATCTACATCATCTATGACCATTGATCTATCGCCACCAGCATCTTCACTTCGTCGTATACCGTATCCAAGTGTAAGAAAACGAAATCAAATTCATCACCGGTCAGTTCTTCATCAACAAGCACATCGTCGACACAAAATTTCAAATGATAATGATATAGAATCATCAAAATCTAATGATGATAATACAATAAAACGTACAACTGATTCACCTATTGATGATTCATTAGTATTTAGTAGTGGAAATGAAAGTGATTATGATAATAATCAATGTACGACTGTTAAAATGCCGGTGAACGATCATCTGAATTCTGATGAATTAACATGTACAGATAATGAAACTCATATAGAAAATTCTAATGTTAACAACAATCAACGGTCAGATATAATTAGAATAACATCAAAGGATACACCTCACAGAGCTAATAAAATAATGACAATTAATGCTACAGCAACATTAGAGGATAGTGAACCGACAAGTTTTCAAGCATATCGCAGAGATTCACTAATAACTCGACGATTACTTGATATTCGAAGTCATTTATTATTGAATACAACACTTGATGCAACGTAAGTCTTTTTCAATCGAAATGATTATTTCTAATGTTTTCCTTTCTCTTTAGAGAAGTATAGCAATTGAATGATGTATACAATTCTTTTCCTTTTTCTTTTGTCTCTCTTTCTCTCTATTTTTTTTCATTGTAAAAACGTTTTTGCTTGTGTGTGACAAACAAATAAAACAGAACAGATTCTTTTGTATTAAAATTTTTCGATAATATTTAAGTATCAACATGCAAAATTCCAATACGCAAAATTAATTCATGTCAAATTATGTGCTTGAATAAGAACATATAATAATTTAGTACCTCACACAACACTTTTCACTTTGTATTTATGAATTGTCAGCTGTCAAACGTTGATTTTTTAATGATGTTAACTTGCATTGAATAGAGATTAGTCTATAAATGAATTTATACTTAAATACTAATAACTAATCAATAAAGATTATTGAGTTTTGTTTTTCATGCTATAAAAAGGCAGAAATGAACTATCATGAAAACAAAATGTCGTCTACTGCTATACTAATTGATGAAGGCGTTAAAAACAGAAATTAAATTTGCTAACTACATTTATTGTTCTTTTCCTACAAGAATAAATTGATGGGTTAAGGCGTTTTTATATGGATATAATTCGGCGTATCGTGAATATAGCAATCTTCTCACAAATGTCTTTTTACAATTTTGAATTATTTTCCAAAATATCTGATTTTATCATGATATACCTGCTGTTCAGAAATTGGAAAACAAATGAAATTTAGTATTTTAGGTACATAGATTGGAAGTGTATGTGTCACTGTATGTAATCCTTCCCGATGATGTTACACATGACAAAGTTTCAAGTCTTCTATATACAAAATTCAGTGTTTGAAACTTTCAAAATGCAATTGTATATATGTTAGTTCTTGTAACTACCTGGATGAAATTGAGTGTAAAAGTGTTTCTAGTGCTTCATAATAGCATGTTTTGTAGTTTCTTCACAGTTACTTCAAGTATGGCTGATTTTTTATTTATTTTTTTTGATGATGTGTGCAGCTACTTATTTCTATCTTGCATTATATTTTCACCAATGATATGTTGAAATGTTGATAAGGGAAATAAAGTCATATATTTTATTCTACTTTTTATATGTTTGTGTTACTAAACACAATGACGATAGCCAGATGTAATTCAATTTCATCAATCTTTCTCTTTATGATTCATCTATATGAAAATAATGTTAAAATAATTAGAGTTTTTCCTTCATCAACAAGTGAATTATTGATTTAAAAAATAAATAAGAATGATTATTTGAATTCTACTAAACTTATCGATTGAATTGTTTTTCTATTCAAACTGAAATACAACGAATAAAGATTTCTAATTAAGTAAACTTATAATTTTATTTTCATAGAATATTATTTACTTAATAGTTGTCTAGTTATGAAGTTAATATACATTTATAAAATTATCTTTTTTTACAGTTATGATAAATATAATGAAATTTTCTTTTCTTTTCTTTAAAATACTCTGGAGAAAATAGCGTTTTCTTTCCTCATGATATAGCAAAATGAATAGTTCTTTGTTTATTATAAATAGTCATGTATATAAAGAAATGTTGATTTCATTCATAAGAGTCTCTCGATTAAGTGTTTATCGATGAGTATAATAAAACAAAGTTTTATTCTTTGTTGCATTGTTCTATGCTATATAATATCTCGAAGTAAGTATTAATTTCAAAATGTTATATTCAACATTTTTTTTTACTTGAAAATAAATTCATTAAGGTAATGCACTTCAATGTAAAACATGTGAACAAACAGATTCATCCTGTTTATTTGCACAAGATACTAAAATACGTCTTTGTGAGAATGAGGATGATGTTTGTTATTCATGGTATTACCGCGATGGTAAAGAGTTTTTATTATTTCCTTAAGATTTAAACCATTTATTTTCGATCAATAGGAGATGAAATGGGAGTACGACGCGACTGTATATCGATTAATTCTTCTGAATATCATTTAATCAAGGACATAATTGGTACTAAAGACAGTAGTTGTCTTAAACGTATACATGGACTTGATTGTTTTACATTTTGTTCGACCGATTTGTGCAATTAAACAGATATTCATATGAATAGATACCTATATATATTCTATACTACATTATTTTTCCTGTCATACTGAATAAATACACTATCGATTAAAGAGACATTTCGTGTTTTTTTTTCTGTTAGGCAATCAGTTTGAAAAGTGAAAGGAAAGAAGAAGAATGGTGTGCACATGTGCGTTGTTACTATCAGTACGACATACGCCTATACGTCGTGCCTCAACTTTAGCTGAAGTTATAAAAAAATGTCTAAATCTTGAGCTTGATTCTATTCGACAAGCAGGTACTTGGAAATTCGAACGAATTATATCAACAAGTCAAAGTTCACATATCAAAATAGAAAATTCTAAACATGATCTTTTAAATTTTTGTGCTAATAATTATTTGGGTTTGGCAAATAATTCTGAAATTATTAATGCAGCGAAAAAAGCACTGGATGATTATAGTGCTGGTCTTAGTTCAGTACGATTTATCTGTGGTACACAAACAATACATAAACAACGTTAGTATACTTTATTATTTAATAAATGATGTATAAAGAAAAAGAAATATATATTTATATACTTAGTTGAACAACGTATTGCAAAATTTCATCAAAGAGAAGATACTATACTTTATATATCTTGCTTTGATGCTAATGCTGAAATATTTGAAACATTACTCAAAGAACAAGATTACATCATTAGTGTAAGTAATTGATACATTGTTATTATCGATATTAAAAAATTTGTTATATGAATCTTAATCCTTGTGGAACAGAAGATGTTGAATATAAAGATATTGCTTATGTTATAACAAGTGTGAAAATAGATCGAAGGATAAGCTTTTACATCATCAAAGTCAATCTTATAGAATATGAGAAACGTTTCAAAAAAAAATATATCTATCTCATTTAGGATGAATTAAATCATGCATCAATTATTGATGGTATTCGTTTATGTAAAGCTAAACGTTTACGTTATAAACACAAAGACATGTTCGATCTTGAATTAAAATTAAAAGAAAGTTTTAATGAAAATAATGATAATATTATTTGATTAATTGCTACTGATGGTGTTTTTTCAATGGATGGAACAATCGCTCCATTATCAGATATAAAACATTTAGCAGATAAATATAAAGCATTAATTTTCGTTGATGATTGTCATGGAACTGAGTAAAAAAAATTTGATTTGTTTATGTTTAGTTTTTTGATTGAAATAAACTTTTATTTTGAAGATTTCTTGGACGAACAGGTCGAGGAACAGAAGAACATTTTAATATGATTGGAACAATTGATATTATTAATTCAACATTAGGTAAAGCACTTGGTGGAGCTGCTGGTGGATATACAACTAGTTCAAAAGCTCTTATTGATTTATTACGACAACGTTCACGACCATTTTTATTTCCTAATACACTTCCTCCGTTCGTTAAATTTCGAAATTTTATATTCCAAAATGCTCTTTTTAAAATTTTTTTAGTCCAATTGTAGCTAGTGGTATGAAAGCAATTGATTTAATTGAAAATAATCCAAATTTACCAGAACGTGTACTTGAAAATGTAACAACTTGGTTTTATAGTATTAATTTCATAAATTTCTAGTTTTGTTTCGTAAATGTATGTTTAAATTTAGCTCTTAGGTGATAATCATCCAATATGTCCAGTTATGTTAGGTGATGCACGATTAGCAAGTCAATTTGCTGATGAAATGTTAAAACGGGGAATTTATGTCATTGGTTTTAGTTATCCAGTTGTATGTTTTATAATAAAAATTTTCATTTTATTGTAATATGAAAATCTTTCATTTTATACAGGTACCAAAAGATCGCGCACGTATTCGAGTACAAGTATCAGCAGCTCATTCCAAAGCTGATCTTAAACGATTTATTGAAGCTTTTGCTGAAGTTGGAAGACAATTTCATGTGACAAAATGATCATTTTTAAAAATAATATTCCAAAACAAAATATTCGATGCCATGAATTTAGATGATGTCTTTTTTTTCGTGAATTAGGGTTGACAATAAAGCGTTATTACAATCAGAACTAATTTGTGTAAAAAAAGAATTTTACTGTCGCCGACAAAATTTCGAGAATTTTTCGATACAGAAGACTTGTTAAAAAACGAATAACTACGACTTTATAAGAACGTACGATAACAACTGAATCAATTGCTTTCAAAGATAAAACTTCCTTCTTTGAAAAAAGTGAATATTTGTTAAAAAACTCAAAATTGAGATGAATACAGAAGAAGATACTTCGTTTTCAATTACTTATTTTGTTTAGAAAAAATGGTTAATAGTTTTTGTTTTTTTGATCGTACGTTCCCAAACTCTTGAAGGAGCTTCATTGTAGCTAATTGCTTTTATTTTAACAAAGCATGTGAAAATGTGGAGCTCGTTTTTTTTCTTGAATTAAGTCCTTTTATGATTGCATAGAGAAGCATCTCTATAAATAGATGACTATTTCTGCCAGAGTCTTGCAAGGTCTTATACTTATTACACATTTTCTTTGCATAAAAAATAAAAATTAAAAAAGAAGGACTCTACCAGGCACTACATACTGACATCCCATGTAAAAAAAAAATAATCAAAAAATCGATTTTAATCATACACCTTTAATCAATAGTTTAAGCAGTAATAATCAGAACAAAATCAGATGATAATCGATTATTTCAAATATGTTGATTATAATCCATTTTCTAAATTTTATCAAATCGATTATAATCATCATATTTGAAATAATCGATTATCATCTGATTTTGTTTTGATTATTACTGCTTAAACTATTGATTAAAGGTGTATGATTAAAATCGATTTTTAATCGATTTTTTGATTATTAAAATTGATTTTTTTACATATTTTTTTTACATGGGATGCTCTCTGGAATAGAAAAACACAATTAAATCTATAGAATGAAAGCCTACAGAGGATTTTAGGTTGTCAAATGAGTTTTTTTTGACGTTTGATTATTGAGTACCTCTCAAAAACGACATGACATAACTGAAGAAGAACAGATTTTAGAACTAGTTTTGCAATATCAGTTTTTAAAGAGAAAAGAAATTGATAATAACGTTTTATCTATAGTGGATTGTTTTTCATTTCAAAGATCATGAACATGAAAAAGATTGTTTAACCTCGTTTATGATGTCATACGTCTTTTGTGTCCAGTTAAATATTTTGAGTAAAATTACAATGAATGAAATACATTCTTATAAAATTTAGACAAACATATCGAAATATAAGATAGAAAATTATCATCGTTAAATAGAACGAATTGTTCAGATGAATTTTATAAAGTACTGTTATATAGAATATATTTTAAAATTGAGACAAAAAAGAAGAAATCATTGTATAAGACAAAGAGCAAATATTGAAATCAATTGAAAAGAATTGGACTTGATTAAAAGCAAAATTCCGTGACTTATTTTTAAAAACTTTCGATTAATTGATATGTTGATAAGAATTTAATTAAATCGTTTTCCTCGGTAATCATTGAGTATCATGTCTTTTAATTAATTTTGAATGAAATTTCTAATTATCGACGGTTAGATAATTATTTATATGAGATGTCTGATTGATTCAGAAGGATTGTATTACAAAATAATAGAATTATTGATGATTCTGTCTTGAAACTATCGTCATCTGATTCGACTGAACTTCTTCATTTATTTATTTTTGTTTCCTGAGATCATCCATAAATTTTTGTTTTTATTTTTCTATGTTAGTTCCTATAGATGAGATATGTTCAATAAAGAATGTTCTCGAATGATCATAACTTTATAGATATTATCGTCTCTTTGTTTTCTTCCTATGATTTTTTTAAGTCATCTATTCTTTTAATAATCAAACGATAAATTTATTATGAAAAAATATATCAATTTTATTTCTCTTCCTTTATATCTCTTTTATATTTTTGATAAATTTATAGTATGTTACAATAGAAGTTAAGCCAAGCTTAAAGAAAGTAATGGAGAGTATTTTTGTTGGGTAAACTTTTTTCAAATATTTATACATATATATATATATATTTCTATTTATAAAGAAAAACTGTTCTTGAATAGATATTTCTGATGAAGTATAGAAATATAACTATAAAACTAAAAGTATAATAATCTTAGGATAAGATAATGTAGTGTGATTCATTTATGCTTGCACGTAGGTGAAGTTAGCACCGTATTCGAGTAAAACTATCCCATATTCGTCCAGAAACATGTTCCAATGGTGTTCCAAGTACAACTTGACGAGCTCTATCTAATGGTATACTCAGATTGACCATAGCCCAAACCAGAAGTCCAAACAGGTCACCTTTTTCAAGGCCTGGCCTGCCTGTGACAGGCTTACACACCTCCTAGCCTACCTGTACCTGTTCTCTGATTTCCTCGGCCTGGTCTGCCTGCCTCTCTAGGCCTGTGTATTTTTTTCATCTCAATATCATGATAAAAATACCATAGAAAGAAATAATAATTTTCGTAAAAAATCGTATTAGTCACTGAATTCAATCTACATCACTACATTGAAAAGTTTCTAATTGAAAAGACTATGTGAATTGTCAGCTTTCCAATTAAACAAAGGTATCATGCTTCTTTATTATTGTGAGCATGTGAAACTAATGGTAGAACAAAGACTGTTCATTTCCAAAAGTACTTCTAGTTAGCCGAAGTATAAAAAAGCATAGTTTTCAGTTCACTTACAAAATGTTTCCTCTAAATAACGATCGATTTCTAGTCAAAATCGCTCGGCAAAGATTGGCATCGTTCTGAATAAGCAAGTAACTTCATTAAAGAGACAGCTATAATGCCTACCTGTAAAAAATGAGGACACATTTTCATGTAAAAAAAAATTCATGTAAAAGTTAGAAAAGATCCATTTTAAATGACTAAAATCATTATTCTCTTTTAGCGGTTTTCAATTGGTAGCGAATCGATTACAATAAAAAAAAATCAAAGTCAATTCATTATCGATTCCTAATTGATTAAAAGGGTGCGGGTGTCGGTGTGGGTATGAGTGGGGTGTGAGGTATGAATTTCGTTACGGTTGAACTGAATATCCACACTCACATCCACACCCACACCCAATTCGGTACATAAATCTGCGATCAATGTAATCCTATCCACATCGATTTTAGGTTCTAGGCCGCATTCTTGTCTTGTCAATAATAAAAATACCGTACCTTGTAGTATAAATGACCCTTGTCTAGAAGAATCATTATCTAATAAAACTCAGACTAGCATTGACACTCATCGAGTTGTGCCGGTCTTTCCTTCGGCAACTTTCTCATCCTGCAAGCATTTCTCTTCAACAGTCATCATTGAACTTCGTCATCGACTCACTATCAAAAGATGACGATGCAAAGTTGAATGCGATTCACTCTGTCCACCCTGCAGCTCGTCCATGACATATAATATTCCGCTCTTCACCGTATCAACTTCCACATGGTCATGTTCGTCGACGACTCATACCGAAAACAACAGCGGCTATTTCACGTAATAATCTCATTACAATCTCACTAGAGATTCCCGGAGCGCTACGAGACAAAAGTGATGCGTCTGGTATTCCAAGACAAATGACATAAGTAGGTTGCTATTGGTTTTGGATGAACAATGTTTTCATGGGCTTTTTTACTTTATCGAGAGCTGATTGTAGAAAGAAGCAGAAAATGATAAAAGCGAAAAATTGCTGATCTCAATCAAACAATTGAAAAACTCGTGTGAGTGTGGCCCATCCAATCCTACACCTATTCACATCCATCCTATATCCATACTCTAAATTCTTTTTCATATATATGTGCTTGACATTTCGTTCTTTTAGACAAAAAGTGAACTAGTTGCCACACAATTGCATGGCAAGCTTATATCAAAAACAAAATTCGTGTAGAACTTTTACTCCATGTATTAATATTTATCAATCACAAAGCATGACAACATTCTTAGCACATTGTTATGTATTATCATAGTCTTAGAGAAATTCAATAAATTCGAATGATTGGTTATTTTACAAGTTGTAGTTTATATTTTTTTGACTGCCCTTTCATATAGACATTATACAATCAGATGGATGTCAGACATATTTTCACTAATGCTTTTTGTTTGTTTCTTTTTACTGGAATTTGCTTTTTTGTTTTGGCTTATTTATTAAATATTTTTTCATGTTAAATACATATCGACAAGGACTTCTATTAATTATTACGAATAAAAGAAAAGAAAACTATTGCGTTTTCATACGAATAATCAAACTCATCTAAATAAAATTGAAGCAAATGATTTACAAAATTAGAGAGAACATATAAATTCATATAAAAAATGAAAAAACCTTTATATTTATGCATTCTCAATTGTATTTTAATTATAGTGGTTTCGTTTAAACATATATATAAACGTCAATAAATACATAATTATAAACTTTGTAGCATTATCATGCATCTTAAAGCTATAGATAATCATACTTTTTGTATGGTTGAATACTTATTATCACCTATTGCTAAATTTTCTTCATAGGCTTTATCTAAGGTATGAGTCTATGCATGGGTCTAAGCGTAGGCCTAAGCATGGGTGTCAGTCATTCTTCATCTACGTCCAGATTCATACAACCTCACCCACCCACCCACATCTACAACCCTGTTTGAATGCAGAAAACAATGATGTTCACTGCTATCAGACGGGCATTGGTCGCCAAAGCATGATTTATTTCGTCAATAGGTACAATAGAATGACAATAATAAGATCAGCTAAGAGTTCATCAAGTGATCACTAGCCATCAAGATTGTTGCAGCAGCAAATGACAACCCAAGCATGGATAACACCAGGAACCTTGTAAAATAGAATGAATAAACATGATCATAATCTGCACTGGCAAGATAATAAAATACTCACAATGCCAAGTATTGTAAGTAGAATATTGAGGAATACAGTACCACTACATACTTTGTCTCGTGCAATCCATACAGCAACAGGTGGTAGAATTAAGGCAATAAAGCAGAGAAGTAAAGTTGTGCATGCACCCGCCATCGACTTCGTCCTTTGATGTAGATAAAGAAAGTGATACCTTGTATTCTTTCTTTTATACACTAGTCTCATTTCATTTTGTTAGTTTTTCTTCTTCTTGTTCTTTTAGACCTATGAAAAAGCAACATTGGTGAAAGGGAAAAAGGAACGAAACTGCGAGCCAATTCTTTCTGTTGAGTCTTTTATCTAGAAAGTATATTAGAAGAAAAATCTCATCATGAGTGAAATAGATGCAAATGTGACTAAAACACATCAAAATTCTGCTTCGTGTTTTTTTTATTTGCGTTCTTAATAGTTATATACTTTTTTTTAACTCTATGATAACTTATCTTTTATAAACGAACATATTAATAATAAGGCTGTCTTTTTGTAGCACTTTTCGAGGCTAGCTTGTCCCCAGCTCGATACTGACAAGTGGAATTTGTAGAGAGTTTCTCGACATGGCTCGAGTGAATCTGTTCATACTTTTTATTATGAAACATAATTGAAAATAAGTGTTAAAGTTAAGAATGAAAAAAGTTAATCTGCAACTATCCTACAAATCATGAGAGACTGTGACTAATAATGCACAAAAAGTCTCTAGAAAATAAACATCTGCATTTACATCGGAAATAGCTCTATGGTGTTTCACATTTTTATTCCACAAGATTTCAATGAAAGTTTTTTGTTTCAGAGTTCGACTATTCTTTCTATTCTTTTGATTACCATTATCGAGAACTTTTTGCATTGTACAGATGTATATTGAAAGACTTTAGATCCTTGAAAGACAAATGTAATACTATCAAGAAAGAGTTTCAAGATAACAGATCTGATGCAAGCTGTACAGCAGAGATGTCCATCGCGGCTGAAAATCTGCCGCTGCCGCGCCGCGGCCTTAGAAAAAAAAAGCTGCCGCACCGCAGCCGCGCCGCGACGGTTTATAAAAAAATGTTGCCGCGGCGCTGCCGCGCCGCGATGGCTTATAAAAAAAACTTGCCGCGCCGCTGCCGCGATGAATTATAAAATAAATGTGCCGCCGCCGCGGCGGTTTACAAAAAAGTGTTTCTGATTTCACTGCTGCGACTATATTTGACCAGAGATATTGGTACTAGACCATCAGATTCATTCAGTCTCGGGGTGTTTCATTTGTAAACCCTGAAATTCTATTAAATTCATGCAGTTTTTCAATGTTCCCCAAAAAAATCCTGCCGCTGCCGCGATGGTCTTTTAAAAAACCTGCCGCTACCGCGCCGCTGCCGCGATGATTTTTTAAAAATCTATCGCTACCGCGCCGCTGCCGCGGTGATTTTTTAAAAAACCTGCCGCTGCCGCTGCCGCCACAGGCCATCGCGGCAGCGGCAGCGGCGCGGCAGCGCCGCGATGGACATCTCTGCTGTACAGTGGCAATTCGGAATACTTTTGTCAACATGAAGAAAATTGTTGGAATCATCATGATAGAAGCTTAAATAGCTTTCAACGTGAGTGTGGGTGTGGGGCACAATGGATAGCCAGGCAATAAAATCGATTTTCCTTTGTTATTGGATAGAAAATGTCATCAACTATCTTTAGTGGATGTGCAAAGACGAGCGTTTAAAGTCTTGCCGAGATGTAGTATCTAAAATGTAACCTTCTGTCAAAATTTCTTGACAATTTTGATACAGTGATCACTTATGTTTCTAGTCCATCAAATGTCGAATAGATAAATAAACAGCAGATGGACACTAACTTCAGATATCATGTTGACTATTTGAGAGTGTGGATGTAGCCGTGAGAAGAGACACGCGGGTGTGGGTGTGGGTGTGGGTGTGGGTGTGGTGGGTGTGGGTGGGGTGTGGGTGGGTGTGGGTGTGTAGGTGTGGGTGTGGAGTGTGGGTGTGGATGTGGATGTGGGTGCCTAATGAATAATGCACCAACATCCTTTGAAAAGAATGCATTTTTATAAAGCGAAGACAAATGTTCATTTTTTGGTGGCGTTCATCAGAAAGGCAGACTATCGAGCTGATTTTACTTCACTCACACCAATGAATTTTTCTAGATTTTGCGAAAATACCAAACGAAACTACGTAGTGAGAAGTTTTGCAATGAATTCAGCTTCATCATTGTCTTAATCTAGTTCTTTATTTAAAACTTTAGCTTCGAGAGAAAACAATCAGTTGATTACTACTGATTTCGATCTTCGATAAAATATACATGCTGAGACCATCAATAACGTAATTATCAGCATTTGGAAATGTTTGATAACAGTTCGATTGAACGGAAACAACCATGAATATAAATGACCGTAAATCAAATGACATTTTCCAATTAAATTATTTATATCACCGTTCATTTCAAAAGCCACATGTTGAGCGCGTGCTTCGAATACAATAGATTCGAGATCACTTTTTTGAACAAGTCGATCATTCGTATTTGTATAGATCAACTGTGAGAGTTGAACATCAAAAAGGATACTATCGCTAAGAAATTCTTTAACAAACTTTTCCATTCGACCATACCGGGGGCCATAGAGTAACAATGCATCGTTTACATTGGTTAAATCGATAGTAACCACAAGTTTATATTGAAATAGAATATCATAGACAGTAAATGAAATATGTTTTTTAGAATTATTTACCGAGAAATCATGAATAATCGATAGTAGATATGTATTAAATCGATAGAATTGATGATTATATTCGAAAACAATAAGAAATCCGGGTAATTCAAGTCCAAAATACCATGGAACAGATGCAAATGAAAAGAAAAGACTAGCCGATGTTGCATTCATCCATTGATTCGTTTGACCCCATATCCATGCTGACGGAAATGAACTTCCCCAATCTTTTTCTGTATAACCCACACCCGAAACATTCTTCTGTTCATCGTCTCCAATCTTAATCGATCCATGAATATCATGTCTCATACTGAGCACATGATGATAACATTGCAGTATAGGTATCCACGAGAGTGGGCCCATTGTACCAGGCGCTATCCATGATAAATCTGGCAGTGGTACATGTGAGGTTAAGGTTAGATTGAGTTTCAATCGTTCCGTTGCATCATCTTCATCTTTCGGTTCAGCATCAACAATTACTGTTTGCGATGAGAAAATATTCTGCTTTCCATCATGATCAATCATGACACGAAATTCATTCGAAGATGATGCTGAAGAAAAGTTTTCAAATGGAAATCGAAAATAATGCGAAGTATTATCATAAGCAGCTAAAAGAAATGCATGTCGGTTATCATCATTCATACAGACACCAGGTATAATTGCAATTGTCTTATTTGAATTTTCCTTAAATACCAATTTGTAATACCATCCTTCGAAGAAAATCCCTTGAGCTATATCATGACCTAGATATTTCACATGAAATATTTTTCTATTGAAAAAACAAACAATTCATACCATGATAACGGTCAGGATGGAACACGAGTTGAGTTGATTTCCGAAAAAGAATGATAAAACAGAAGAAAGCACTACATGCCCATATAAGAATTGTGCGTCGTACGTCTAACATTTGCTTCGTTTTTATGACAAAGTAAAATTGAAGAGCGAGAAAAATGTGTGACATATCAGATGAATACGTTAGAATCACTGTTTGTTTAAGGACTCATACTTGCTATTATCTTTTTTCGACATGAATCAAGATAACTTTCACCCTGAGTCAAACATAATTTTGTCAATCATGGCAAAGTTTTCTATCAGATCCTGGGGTGAGTGTGGATGTGCGTGTGGGTGTGGATGTCAGAAGAGACACGCACACCCCACACCCCACACCCCACACCCCACATCCACACTCACACCCACACCCACACCCACACCCACACCCACACCCACACCCACACCCACACCCACACCCACCCACACCCACACCCCACCCATACCCACACGCACACCCACAGCCCTAATGATATTAAATAGGTTCACATGCAAGTATATATTTACTCTAAAGAGATGAGTTGTTGACATTTCTACATGACTCATTATCTATACAGGCGCCTTCTTGTAACTCAAGTAGAAAAACATGACTTTTGCCTATTATCATATTAGCACCAGACGAGAAACGTTGTTGGAAGAAAAAGATTCCTGTTATAACAAGAGGTATAAGCTGTATAACTGATGTCACTGCGACCATTTTTTCGAGAAAGGGTATGGATTTGAGGTAAATATCGTTACCATTTATGTTACGAGCCGTATTGATATGGGTGCAGGTATGGGTGTCGGTGCGAGTAAGGGAGGGCTAATAGTAGCATACCCACACCCTTCTTGTTCGAAAGGTACTTGAGCACCCTCTAGAAGTTTAACAAATTTTTCACCAGTGATGCTTAGGCTAGAGGGTAATAGAAGCATGCTAGCGTCAGTAATGGAAGGTTTTCATTGTTATTAGTTGAAAAAACCAGAAAACAACTAAGCCTTCAGCATGTGAAAAAGTTTTCAAAAGTACAGAAATAAATGATATTTTAGTCTTAAGGTGTCAAGTAGAATTAGAATATTTTTTGCTGTAGGATAAGGAGCGATTATAAAATCATAATTGATGGGAATGGTCTCTAATCTTTAGTTTGACTAACATTCTAGAAAATCTCCAAGTCTAAAGGCTTAATTATTACAAAAGGACTGCGGGCGTAGCCGCCTTCCGCGACAATATTTTATAGAAAGTTTCATAACTGATATTTAATGAGGTTAATATTTCAATGAAGAGAAAAGACATAATGGAATCTATGTGTCTGCAAAAAAAAAAAATATCCCACTGGGAAGTATAGTGTCGCTTGCATAACCATAAGCGATGATCGAAAACTTACTCTTAGATCAAGGAAAATCAGTTCATCGCAGTGTTACAAACCATCGTTTGAATTAATAGTTCGGAGAGTGAATGGTTCCGGTACCAAAAGCGCTGAGACTTTTAAAGAATTTTTCCGAAAGATATTTTTCTTTGAAAATACGGTATAAAATTGATGTCTTATTTAATGTGCAAAAGCCTTCTGATGGAAAGATTTTTCTCGAACTATAAATAGCAAGGAAATAACACTAACTACGCTAAAAAATGTGAATGCTTCTTTAATGTTAATAGATCAGAACTCATCTTCCACCTCCTTCTTCTTATTCACCTCTTCCATAGCACATTTCTATATGAACTTCTCAAGATTTTAATGTATTCTTTATACAGGGTGATTCAAAACCTTTACGCCCCCCAGGTTCGACCTAAGGTAAAATGATTTCAATAAGTATTTTATACCAAATCGAAGCCAGTAAAAAACTGCGTTTATTGGTACTAAATGATAAAGGTTATGAAGACCTTTTAATGTCGAGCTTCCGAGATTTTCAGAAATTTGCTACCTATTTTGGTGTAAAAAAATAAGGTGCCAGTAATTCAAAATTGAAATAAAACATTTTTCTTAGATATTTTTACATGATTCGCTAGAGCTCGACGAGCTCTACAAAACTATATATTTCAAAAATACTTTGAGCCATCTTTTTTCAGGTAAAAAGTCCAAAAACTGCTTGGAAAATCACGAAAAATCTTTGAAAACTTCACTTTTTTCATATGGAAGAAAACACTCAATTTTTCAATAAAATTAAGTTTTATTCATTATTTTTGCTGTCTCAGACGTTTTGAAATGTATTTATTCGATGCAGTTTTTCACGCGGCATGGAATGAGCACATTTCAAAATGTCTCAGCTAACATAATTGATGAAAAAAACCTAATGTTATTGGAAAATTGGGTGTTTTTTCATACGAAAAAAAAAAGATGAATTTTTTTATATTTTTAAGGATTTTCCGAGTAGTTTTTTGAATCTTTTATCATAAAAAGATGACTCAAAGTATTTTTGAAATATATAGTTTTTTAGAGCTCGTCGAGCTCTAGCGAATCATGTAAAAATATCTAAGAAAATGTTTTATTTCATTTTTGAATTACTGGCACCTTATTTTTTTACACCAAAATAGGTAGTAAATTTCTGAAAATCTCGGAAGCTCGACATTAAAAGGTCTTCATAACCTTTATCATTTAGTACCAATAAACGCAGTTTTTTACTGGCTTCAATTTGGTATAAAATACTTATTGAAATCATTTTACCTTAAGGTCGAACCTGGGGGGCGCATAGGTTTTGAATCACCCTGTAGGATAACATACATTGAACTGTATTCGGCACACACAAGAAACGCTGAACGAGATATATTACTACTTTAAACACACTCTTTCAGACGAAAGATTTTTAGGTGATTCTTCCCGAGTTTCGATAGTTCGATTATCAGCTGGTCTTTGTCAATCTCTCGAAATATGGCCTGGGAGCTGCGCCAGGGTGTGGATGTGGATATGAATCAATACAAGATCAGCGCCCACACACCCACACTTACACTCAGTTTAACGACTTGTAATATGTAGAGAACGCTAAACAACAATAGTGCTTCTTTTCTTTGTAATTACTGCAATTTATAGAGTTCACTAGACATTGAGTTTCACTATTTCAATTTAATGAGCTGTAATTGGGAGAGTGCGCTAAGATTTAGTAGTCCGTTTTTTATTCTTAATTGGCTGCGATTTGTAGAGTTCGTCAGACATAATTGTTACTATGAGTGTTATCAGCTGTTTTTCATTTCAAACAAATCATTTAATTATGATTGTAAAATGGAATCAAACATTGAATGGAGATAAATGATTGAGGTGAAAAAATATCTATACACAAAACTCAAACATACAGAAAATGATATGCAAAAAAAGATGGTTTAGAAATAGAGATCTTAATGAGCGTCTTCTCTTGACAAACACAGCTCAATCCGTCCGCACTACATTCGGAATAAATATCAAGCTATCACAACGAATTATGATATAATCTCCTTAAAAATTTGCTTTGTGTTTAACGAAAATCTTTCTTAGTTCAGCCCGAATCGACGACTCTTACTCGTACATTATGAGTGTTAGTTTATCAATAACAAAGGAAAAAAACTAACTAATACATTTTGTTTTTGACTTTCATTAGAATTCTTCACAGCTGGGTTCCAAAATACATTTTAATTCAACCAAAACCTAACGTCCTCTACAAATTGCAGCATGTCTGGTAAAACACATAACTTTTTATTAAAACCTTTGAAAACAATTTACTGTCAATATTCGTTCGGAATAATCAAATTTTTAAAAGTTAAATAGAAATTTTAATTGTTTTACAAAAAAATAATAATATAATAAAATTTAAATCAAACGAAATCTTAAGAATTTTAATTTACTTATCTTAATGCAATGTCTATATTGTTAACATACAGGTTGGTTGAAAAGTTTTGAAAGCGACACCTATTAACCAGTAGAGGAATCAAAATTTATACGCTATTTTAATATTTCATCTTCCATTGGAACACACAAAAAATTCTATTTTGATTGGTCAATTCATTCTGTGTTTACAAGCCATTTGAAGTTGACGTGTCAGTGTATTTTGTTACAATGGAAAAAACCGAATATCGTGCAGTGATAAAATTCTTTGTTTTGGAAGGTTTATCAGCAACAGAAATTCATACAAAAATGGTGAAAGTGTTAAAGGAATCTGCTCCTTCATTTCCAACTGTGCATCGATGGGTTTTAGACTTTAAACGTGGTCGTACAAGCGTTGAAGATGAACCACGTAGTGGACGTCCAAAAAGTGCAACAACACCAGAAATCATTGAGCAAGTCTATGATATTGTTTGTAAAGATCCAAGTTTAACTAAGCGTGAAATTGCTGATACCATAGGCATCTCAGATGAACGAGTACTCCATATTTTACACGAAGAATTACATATGAAAAAGCTGCTCGGAAAGTTAGTGCCGCATTCGTTAACAATTCAACAAAAACTGAATCGAAAACAAATTTCTCACCGTAATTTGGAGCGTTTTAAGCAGAATAAAACCGATTTTGTGCGTCGTTTTATAACTATGGATGAGACTTGGATCTACCATCATGATCCTAAACTGAAACAAGAACGTTTACAGTGGATTGAAGCTGGTTCTTCAGCTCCAAAACAGGTGAAGTCAGAACGATCGGCAAAAAAGGTTATGGCATCAGTTTTTTGGGATGCAAAAGGGGTTTTGTTGATTGATTATCTTGAAAAAGGTAAAACAATTAACTCTGAATATTATTGCAACCTTTTGGACCAGTTGGATAAAAAAATTGGTGAAAAAAGACCCGGTTTACAGAAGAAAACAATCATTTTTCATCAAGACAATGCACGTGTTCACACAAGTTTTTTGACGATGGTTAAATTGAACGAATTAAAGTACGAATTGCTTGAACACCCACCGTATTCACCAGATTTGGCTCCCTCCGACTATTACCTCTTCAGAAACTTGAAACAATTCCTTCGTGGAAAGCGTTTTTCGTCGAATGAAGAAGCTATTGCAGCCGTGGAACAGTATTTTGCAGAGCTTCCGGAAAATCATTACAGAGATGGTATAAAATTATTGGAGGATCATTGGAATAAGTGTGTTCAAGTTGAGGGAGATTATATTGAATAAAAAAACTGATTTCATTAAAAAATACACATTCTTTCATTTTTGCTTTCAAAACTTTTCAACCAACCTGTACATAAAAGTATATGTAGCCTACCTCAACGTCTACTGTGTCGAAAGTAAACTAGTAGTGCATTTCTAACTTTCAATTGGTCAGTATTGCTGCTTATTCTGACGAATAAGTCATGAGTACAAAAACAAAAACGTATAAAAGAGAGAAAGAAAGAAAGAAATTGTATATATATATATATATGCATATGTATCTCATGATTTATAATCATATTCGATCCTCGCCTATACAGGTAAGATATAGTAATAAACACGTGACTGGATAGTGAAACGAACAAATATATAAAAATTGCACGTTATTCTCTTCTGTCTCTTTATTTAACGTGCGAGCTCTTGTTCTAGAAAATGTAGATGTGAAAAATGGCTAAATTAACTATTTTTCATTCGTTTTGTCACTGAATCTCGCTGCACGTATTCCTTAATCAGATAGCACATAAGTTACGCTCCTGATATGAAATGCGTATTCATCATTGTCGATAGCAGATTAACGAAGTCATTCGATGTTCATGGTATCTGTTCGATTTGTTGTAACAGAACAAAGAAGAAGCGAAAGATAATCGTGTGCACAATTAGACAGAATATTATGGAAGCTAGAATCTCAATTTGATCTCATAGGAAAACTTGTAATATTCGTTTTCTGTGTATGAGTTTTTTCTGTCTCGCAGCATCACAATTGTTCGTTTCACTGCTTTGCACCCTAATAGTCTTTAAAGTATGAATCATCATCACCTATTAACGTATATTATTTTTATTCTCGTTGCAATAAAGAAACTATAATTACTTGATTTTTCTCTTGTTTTGCTCTTCCTTCTGACAAGTGAGGCGATATTATTTCTACTCCCTCACTGTTTTGAGAATACATCCTATTCCGCGATGTTGCACATTGCTGGAATCAGTTCCGCCCCGGAATCGATTCCATCCAATTCCGCAATTCCGCTCACACAGACCTCAATCCAATTCCGGAATCAAATCAACCATTTCCCAACAATTCCGGAATCATTTCCAATAATACCGTCTAATTCCGAAACTCCGGGAATTCCATCAAGCAGGAATCGCAGCGAATTAGCCCGAATTGCTTCAAATTCCATGTAATTCCGTTATATTCCGGAATCATATATACGTTGCATTAATACCATAGTTCACTTCTAGTGTATCCATGCAATTCCCAAACGGAATTCCGGGAATCGCTTCAAGGAAGAATTCGACGGAATTGCATGCAATTCCATGTAACTCCGTTCGATTCCGGAATCATTTATTCCTTGCATTAATACCATAGCTCACTTCGACTGTATGCATGCAATTCCCAAACGGAATTCCGGGAATCGCATAAAGGAGGTATTGGACGGAATTAGACGGAATTGCATGCAATTCCATGTAATTCCGTTCGATTCCGGAATCATTTATTCGTTGTATTAACACCATTGCTCACTTCCAGTGTATGCATGCAACTGATAAACGGAATTTCGGGAATTGAGTCGAGACGGAATCGGACGGAATTCCTAGGAATTTCGTCCAATTCCGGAATTCCTGGAATTGATTCCAATTCTGGAGTTGGTGGGGATACACCCACCACGCAATTCCCTGAATCGGACGGAATTCCCTGGAATTCCGTGCAATTCCGTCCGATTCCGTGTAATTCCGCCTCGACTCAATTCCCGGAATTCCGTAGCG